CCTACGAAGTAGTAGCTGATACCTACGTTTTCACAGAACGCAGTCTACCTAGGTATTTGACGTAGTGTGGGCAAGAATTCCATTAGAACGACTACCTACCTGTTGGAGGATTCGTCTAGATATTTCAGTACATATCGTCGAACTTTTATACTTCGTGGGTATTGTGGCGCAACTACGAAGTACGGACTACCTACATGTACGAACCACTTGCCTACCTACCTATAAGTACACTACCTACTAGTAGGTACTTACCTACACTAGGTACATGCACCTTCTTGCGCCGTCAAGAGAATGTCAGTATAGAAATAAAGCGGAGTCTGACTGGTAGTTCAAGCTGTACCTACCTGCACACCTGAATTATATGGCAAAATATATTGAACTGGTCAAGATGGGCCCGTCAAAAGACCACACAAGGGATAGGTACCTACCTATCTGCCGGCCTCCAAGCCAGTACGTCCGTAGAAATTAGTATTGTACCTAGTAAAGCGACGTGAATATATTACTTACACTTTGTTGGCATTTTTGCCGACTTTAATCGTATACCTACCTACCTACGGACGTGTTTTTAGGTGGGTCCCGCGGGTGGTACCCGCTTTTTCTTTACACTACTACGTACATACACTACTTAAGTAGGTAGTACTGGTGCGCGAGGTATACCTAGGCTATACTTAGTAGATGCATAATATCTTACAGAAATACCTATATATGCAATACCCACGGCCATTTTATACTCATGTAGGTAGGTAAGCAGTGTTTTGAATGTCCTACAGAATACCTAGGTACATTAAGTATAATTCTGTGCTTACGTAGTCCGTACGTCACGGGTATGTATTGCGTAACGCATAGGTGTTCGTGTACGTCCGTACCTACCTAAGTACATAACCAACCTAGGTACCTACCTAGGTAGGTTAGGTAATGGAACAGCCTCTCTTACCTAGGACCTAGTAGATTAAGGGCCCAAGGTAGGTAGGTACGGATCCGTACCTCACCTTGAGTTACCTTAGGTACCTTCCTATGTAAGATAGGTAGAAAGTGTACCTAGGTCGGTAGGTAGGTAGGTTAGGTACACTACAGGAGATGGTAGGTAGGTAACATACCGAGGTATACCTACCTTACCTACGGACGTAAAGGTAAGGTAGATAAAATGAGTGAGCGATACTTGGGCGGAATTCCATCTCCATCTCGATCCTCCAGGGCTGCTTGCCGAAATATTCATCACCGGATCGTGGCTGATGGTTTTTAGTTACGGAATACTGGTTTGTCTACCCTATTCCGTACCTCTACGGATCTGTACTATATTCGAAACCTATACGAATTGCTGCAATGCATTCTAGGTATGCTCTCATGTTCAGAGACTTTTTAACTTATTCTCGGATTGTATTTCGTGCGGCTATTGCTTGAGACAGCCCTCCCGCCGGACACTGTTCAGAATGTCTGTTATTGTACAAAGTACGCCCGTACTTTGTAGTTATAGTTACTTATACGGACGTACTTCCCTATCTCCCCTACAGACCGGGGCGGTTACCCCAGCTCAACCTCTTATCGCCTCCACACCTTAGCTACCGATTTATAACCGCCCTGGCTCGATGCCTACGTACATAGTCGTAATCACAGCCTTGGAAAACAAGATACCGGTGGTGCACACCACATACAACCTCTACCAACACCACATGCTTCCATGAGCTGAATCTGGGTCCGAATTCCGTCAATCAATCACCTTTTTTTTTATGCATCCTGTCCGTCAATTATCAGCTTAGCAGCACAGATCTGTTTTTGTCATCCACCTGCGCCCTCGCCTCACCTCATCTCTCCTCCAGCCTCCGTTCAATGCCATAGGTATCTATCAACCACCTAGTCTTACCTGTCACTGTACCATCCGGCTTGAATTCCCTGTACCTGACCTTTAAAATCCCCGCAGATTGGCGCTGGTTCGTCATAGTAGACTTGGCCAGCAACTTCCACAGCCGTGACAAAGAGATATTCCACATTCCTCTTGGCCCTTCGATATTTCTCCCAGTCGCGCATCATCCACACCCTCTAATATTCGACTATCGCTCTCTGTATATTCTGCGTATCAATTTTTTTTAATCCGGTGGGTTTGACAGCGTCGGCAACTCGATCAATTCGTTCATCACATACCTTTCGTCTCTTGACGGTCTACCGGCGCATGGCTGTATACGAGGATCGGTATGCTCGAGTCTAGGCTGCTGCTCTTACCACCGCTTAATATCAACCCGGTCATTATCGCATTCATACTTCTCTTCATCACCCCCTTGATGTCAAACATCTCGTGTGATTCAATATGAACGATCGTGTGGCCGCCTTCGTCCGTGTTTCGGGCCCGCCAAATAGCAGCTTTCTAGTCGGATACCCTGGGATTTCGGCAACGTTGGTAAGTGCATCATCACGCCTTATATGATCCTGTGCATTGTCACATCCCGCTGTAGCTCCTTTCGTTTTTGTCCATCTATCTACTTATCCATCGCCGCGATTGGTGTCGCGAACATACATTACTAACCTCAAGTCTGTAGCCGCGTATCGAGGGTAAAGTTGAGATTCGACCACAACAAGGCTACTCTGCCCCGGTCGCCATTTCCCTTGTTCGGATATGTCTGCAGCGAAGAGAAACCATTCATCCGGCCGCGGAAAACGTGGCCAAGCGCCATCTTGGCACACCTCGACGAGAGACGATCGATCTTGTTGGCAAGGAGCTCTTATTGTATCGATGTGCGTCGGGTAAGGAAGCGGACAATGTTATGGCTATGGATCTGCCTTTTGCCTTGTTTATACCATTTGGGCGAGGGGGAGAGGAGACAAATAGGAGGATCCCACCGGCATCGTTACAGCTTGCCAGCAGGATCGCAGAAACATACTACGAGTTAGTGGTCACCGTACAACAGGGTCAGAGTGTGCAAAATAAGTACGCATTCCCGGTCCCCATACAGCGATATGACACACTATCGACCTTTGGAATGTATAATCGGCCCGAGACTAAAATCGCCACCGCCGATAACATTGTCACGCTTGGTATATCGCTACCAAAATGGAGTTATGGCCCTATGGATCCCATCTCTGTCTATATCAAACTGGCCCCGAATTTAGACTGGATGGCAAAGGCTAGGAAAGTCACCATAAAGAGCATTACGTTAAGCATCGAGGAAGAGATAACCTTCAACCCAGAAGGCGATGAGCCCACAAAAAAGGTCAATCGAATCCAGAAATACGTCCAGAATGTAGGAATGAAGTTACCCGAAGAGGGCTATGTGACAAATATAGGTATCTTATTGCCACATAAAGATCTACGGGATTCCAACGGTATTATTCGCAGGGGGCATCCGGCGTTTCCCAATTATGGGATCACATCTTTCACCACGACTTCAACACTATACAAAATAGAATTCTTCCTCAGTATCAAGGTATGTATGCGCCAACGTGGCCTTTCAGGCCTTTGGGAGAAGCAATACCTGCTAACGGTTTATTTCGAAGGCGAGCATGACCTCAGCTAGGGACATCACTCTCCGACAACCAATCGTGATTTGCCCTCTGGATTTTCAGGCTTGCAAAGATGAGATGGATGCTATTGAACAAGCAGCAAAAGATGCTTCGTCTGTAGACCAGACTAACCCCATGCTGCCAGCTCGGAATATTGTGTTGGCGAACGATCCTAATGCCTTAGCAACATTGGGGTTATGTCTGGTTGGTGGGCAGAAGAAACCTCTAATCGAATGAGTGGGAGTTATGAATTAGCTACGAAATGCAAAGCAAAGCAGAATAAGGAGAAGGATGTTGCGAACGATGGGTGAAGATGACGGTCTTCACCCTCATCTAGGGAATGAAATGATCATTACAGCAACTAAGGATCTGAGAAGCAAAGTATAACTCGGCACGATATTAGCCCAGAATACTACGACTCACTATTTCAGATCGTATCACGGGAGCCCGGCTTGGAGGGAACGACTACCGTTGCACGTACCGCTGATATGCGCCTGCAATCATTGTTTGGTGTGTCGCTTTCGCTGGATGCTGCTGAGCAGAATGTGGCACCAAGATCTACCCTGCGTTCTAGCCCCATGGGTAGTGAAGTCCAAAGCTGTCACAGAACAGAGGCCGAGTGAAGGTTTTTCCGGGGTGTGAGATTACGCAAGCTGCAGTCTCTTTATCTCCTGGTCTTTAGCCCTACCACGATGATTGTGGGGAAGAGACCATGGAGCCGTGATTATTCTTGATTATCTACCTAGGTTCCGAGGGGTGCTGCTACCTACTTCAGGCAGCGAATCGAAATTTCAGCTGGAAGGGCTTCCGGCACTGTTGAAGGCAGGAAACATAAGTTTGAAGGGTCAAAGGTGCATGATTTCCCCGGCGTTTCCGGGCGGTTCGACAATGTTTGATGTGTCGTCGAGGTTTAGCCGATTCTCCCGGCGATTTCAGTATGCCGACACAACTCGCTCATTGTGCCCGCTTATACAGGATGGGATGATTTGGTTTGGCGCAATGTCTTGGATGACAGCATTGGATCTAGAGGCGTTCTGGAACTACATTAAGACTCTCGTCAAGGCGACCATGAATCACGAATTTACTGGGAGTGAAATGGCTTGCTGTAATTTAAGCGACGCAATACCCCGCGAGCAAGCTTATATCCGACTTCGACTTCTTGTGTGTACAAGAGACAAGATAAATGTTAATGTGAAACCAGGAAATTACAAAGAAATAAATGCAGAGGAGCTGTGTAGAAATATGATAGTGCTTGGGGGCCTGGGCCAAATTGTATCAGTCACCGACTCACAATGGAGTCATCACTCCACCAGACTCAAACAATTGTTCTAGAAAACTCATACGAACTCAAAAGAAAATTGATTTTGTATTTGTAGGGGCTCATTGATTTGGTTGTTTCTTCTGTACAGAGGACAGTTAGTTTAAATACTTTATAAAATCAAAGGCTGTCGCTTTCAACTGTGCACTTAATCCTAGTCGGCGATGTGCCAGTTATACAAATCACCCTTGGGAGTTTGGCCGAGTGGTTAAGGCGTCGTGTTTAGGTAGAGTTGGGGTGTTCCCCGGCATACCTTAAATCCCGCGATGGGAAACCGCGCAGGTTCGAATCCTGCAGCTCTCAACATTTTTTTAGGTCTTTTTTTTTTCAGTTCTCCTTTGGGCCGCGTTATACCTAGCTACTACGGATCCGTACCTAAGCTAAGATATCTAGTGTAGAAGTATGCTGCTACCTACCTGTTCATTTACATATAGAGATCTCGGTCGATTTTTGTGAACAATTCCCTTTTGGATATGTAGGGACTTGTGTCGACACGGGTCGTATACCTACCTAGACAGGTTGTTTTGTAGCTTTTGTTGTTCCCGCCGATGTCCATATGTTTTTACAAGTACATTCAAGTGTCTAAGCTACTGTGCCTTGTACCTAGGCTTTCGTGTCGCGAGGGCGGGCTCAGTGCTGTGCATCCCAAATGACTCGTATGCAAAGAACTTCCCCATGCCCATGTACCTTTACGTCATCGCGGCACTGCTTGGTGGTGAGCCACGTTTTTTTTTTTTTTTTTTGGCTAAGGGATATGCATTGTTAGATACGAAGAAAAGAACCATGATGGGTTCAGTTTCCGGCCCTGGTACCTAGCCTTACCTGTAATTGTCTCACTTGAAAGAATTGCAGCTTTGCGAATACTTGCGATTACTTGGGTGATTCTCATTTTGTGTGGGATTTCGGTGTCGAGAATTTGCTGCCGGGTTGTCTTGGGTGAGTTTGATTGAGAAAAGTCAGATGTCTACAAAGTACGGATCCGTTGTAATTACCTAGAAGTACGCGCGCCCCGCTTGATAACGGCGTAGACTCGGCTCGGCGGAAGGGCACCTAGGTAGATCACATGTTCTAGATATTACTTGGTGTATACGTACGGACTACACTATACTCTACCGAGTACGTCCGTAATTACGGATTACCCAGGTAGTAATGTGATGTTTCCAGGTTATCACTAGGTAATCCGTACTTAACACTGCAATTCCCTGCTCTCGGGTTTCAGCATCTATGAAAATACAATTGTGCCCATGAGAAACCGAGTTACCTATGTGACGTGACGTCTGTTTTGTGTTGAGGTATGATTAGGTAAGTGTCTCGTTGAGTACATATATCTTTTGTAGAATAGAAATGTAGGTATAGAATATATGAAATAACCCAGTATTATCTTTATAGTGTACGTCGCGATTTGCACTTAGGCTTGAATTTTCCCGGTTGATCAATCATATTGTATGATCATCATTTCTTGCTGCCTACCTACTTGTTGCGTTAAAGCTATTCTTCATACACTAGAAAACTTGAGGACACGAAGTAACGCAGTCTCGTTAAGAGAGCAAGTGATTGGCATCACTTGACTAAAGCGCAAGGATGTCATTCGACGATGAAGATCTGGTCCCTACGTCACTCAATTCCGCTGGCGATGATGACATCGAAGATGGCGATCAGGCCCAGGACTTCCGACTCTTTAGCTCGCTTCTTTCAAACTCCGGAAAGAGGTCCCAGGCTTCAGGTAAGTCCATACGTCGGGGCGAGAAGGACTTTGAGTCGCATGGTACCCGTGCCCAGGAGGGCGTACTCGAGTCCAGTCGCTCTGCCATGCACGAAGTTCTGAGCTATACTCGTCAACATCAACCCCGCAACGTTTTGCGCGGATGGTACTTCCCTGACCGTTGGGCCAATATGGCGCCCGATAATGAAACAACAAGCGATAATATACCTAGTGATCGGGCATCAAAAAGTCGGGGCTCGGCTAAAGGTCTATTCGCGAGGGAACGGGTCGTCGCGCTGGAGTCCGATAAGAGCACCATGCTGTTGTCGATGGGTCGTGTCGTTACAAGTGCTGAGAAGCACACTCCAGGATGGTTAAAGACTTGGTTGTTGCCTGAAGAAGCACTTTTTCTAATGGAGAGGGGGACCTTAGACTTATGGTGGCCAGCACGAGAAATCGACGAGATCTTACGAGATGGCGAAGCCTCAGGGGCCCCGCTGGTAGAGTCAGAAGAGATTGAAGACTATGAACGTGGAGTTCCTTTGAGCTTACAAGCTGCATACGCACTCTTCATTGGACGGGATGGCGAAAGAGGAAAGATCAGTCTTGAGAAATACCAGGTTTATGCCAATCTCAGACGCACGGGTTACAAAGTTTTACGTGCAACGCCGCTTCAATTATCCTTACCAGAAACACCTCAACCACTCTGGCAATGGCTGCTATCATTTCTACGAAACAGGAACAAACCCATGGCCGTAAACTGTGACCATCGAGGATACGGGCCCCTTGTGAGGCCAGGTTTATACCGTTCATATATACCTGTTTTTGAGCAACTGTCTCTCATACAACGGTACAAGCCCACTCCTCTCTCAGCTTCAGAGCTTCCTCAACCCCAAGACCCCTTCAATATTCATTTCCATGTTTGGAAGAGTTCGTCGGCCTTTATGAAGACAAAGCCACCGAATCCCGACTACCAGATCGCTGTCGTAGATGCCCGCGAATCTAAAGTTCCCACGCTCGAGCAGCTCGATGCCTTGCTTTTGTCTACGCCATGGGACCCACCGGAGAATGACCCAGGGAAAACAGGTGCAGGCTTCATATACAAGCGTCTCAAGCACGGGTGGCGAAACGCTATCTTAGCTATCGTGGACCGCGGTCTGATTAGTTACATGAGGTTCGGCGAGATGGCGTTTAGTGAGGAATTGTTATATGAAAACACAAACTCACGTCCGAAACCGAAAAGGGGAGGCCGAGGCGGAAAGGGACGCGGAAGAGGGAATGGAAAATGAACATGTCGATCTTTCTTGATGTGTATGCCAGCAATCAAGTCCCGCCCACATGGTCGCAAGATAAGCAGTGCAAATTTTCAAGTACTTACATGATGGCTGGTCTCGTAAGCAAACAACCTACAAGCAATTGGTATCATACAGATCTCAGCCACAGTTAGTTGGCCTTGGGCAAAACTGTTTCAGCATGTCTAGGACGGATCATTTGGTAACGGATCCCTCTTGGAGGACTTATGTGCAGCGGGTGAGGATGGCTTCCTTAGCCGGATTGCAAAGTGAGTGTCCACAAACGTGACCCCCCCCCCCCCCTCTTTCATCTGTGCGTGAGCATCGGACTCCGTCCTCTAATATTTGTCAGTCGGCAAACAGTCACAATTCTGACAGGGGTCGCAAATTAACTCTCAGCTTCTCATTTACAGGATACCATGTACAATTGATCAAGCGGTGGCAATTACCAAGTATCATGTATATGATAAACATGCGATCGAAGCAAAATAATACACAACATCCTGCCAACTCAAAACCTGCGTAAGCGATGCTACTCTCGTACCTAATTATGCAGGTACCCTTTAGATCTCTTACAACTTCTTCATGTCTGTATACTTGATCTCTGCTTGTATCGTGACAACCCGAATCTGTTTACCCAAAGAGATTCATAGTCTGTCTCCGAGCAGACTACTTCATCATGTCTGCAGGCGACATGTTTGGTGATCAGGCCTGACATTCCCCTTTCTATTGATCGCCAAGGTATAAGCAAACACAACTGTATCCACTATTTCCTAACTACTCTAGATTGGGTGACGTTGTTAACACCTAAGTTGACTCTTTCCGATACTCGGGCCAATGCTCTCTACCAAGACGACTTATTTTGAGAGCATTAATATCAGAAATAGTAAGCGTAGCATCCCGTATTACTCCCGAATTGCGGAGCTGCAGACGACTGCAATGATCAGCGTATATTTTAAGAAATTTGTCAGAGAGTAGCCGAGCCACTTTCCTATCTTCAAGCCCTATTCTTGTTTAGATCTTCGCCTCGCTGTAGCGGTTCCTTGCATGGTATTTAGTGCACCGGCTGAGCAGCGCAAATAACCCCTTCCTTCTGCTTGTAGTACTCAAGATTCCGCTGATTTCATGAGTGCACAATGCTAGAAACACAACACAACTGTGCTGCCCGTATGTAGGCGGGCCGTCGACACACAGACTAATCAACCCAGGCCTCCCTGTCCTGGCATGTCTCACTTCAGCTTTTAAGAAGGCAGAAAATGTACTTATACTGTATGTTTCACCCCTTGCATCCTATATATGATGTATCGGTCACTACTTTTGGACTGCACGCTATTTAATTGACTAAGTTGGGTGACTTGATAGGACCCCAACGATTCCAGGGTTACTCTCGGTATAGAAACAGGTATAGCTCTCTAATGAAGGGGATCTCACGTGCTCCCAAGGGCTTCGAGATGATTCGCTGGCGTGATGCCTACATTTTGTGTGCTGGGTGTTGAGCCGCGAAGGATTGGATGAATGCTGCATCTAAAGCCATGGTGAACCTGTCAGGCCGGAATAATTCAGTTGGGAGAAACGTCAGACTGAGGCCGAAACTTCGATGTCACTCATATATCTGAAGGTCATGTGTTCTCCACACTCGCCGCCGCCACTTGCAACTTGCCTTCTTTTTGTTATTACATATCCTGCTGCTGAGATAAGTATCTACCTAGTCTATTTGACTGAATCCTTCTTAACTTGTGGAAGAGGGGGGGTCAAAGTTTCTGATAGAGAGTTGTAAATGAGGCGGATACAGACCATTTCTCCTTCGGGCACTAATCCGAAGGTAATACAAGATTCTGTCCATTTTGTCCGTGGCGTACTTATATTCTTCGGTACCTGTTAATCAACTCAATAGCTATGCCTGATCCAAGATGACGGTGATGACGTTTAGTACGGATTCCAATGCAATGGATGAATTGTGATGAGCAATATTTTACGATCGTGGCGGAGAAACGTTACGGATATCGGCTATGTTACCTAAAGTCAAGGACGGAACCCGTTCCATTTCGCATCGAATCATCTGCGAGGTTATCAATGTCGTCCTCCGCCACGAAATGCAAGACATTCTCGCCAGATCCGATTAGGCGGCAACATCGAAAATGGACATATATTCTGCGGCCTGCATTGAATCGTGAGGGAATATGTGCCTGACAGCTAAACAGGTTTCAAAGAGTATTATAGGGAATGCTTTTTTTTCTTTGTAGATGAAACGATATAGGAGACTTGCAGGAGTGGAAGACGAGTTATCTATCCGGTCAGGCTCAACCGAC